AATCGATCTTTGTAATCCCGTGTCCGGAAACCGTTCTTGGGATGCCTGGCAACTTTGAAAAGCTCATTGTAGGAGATTTCTTCCTCCTGGGACACCTTCACACTATCGGCTTCGAAGAGGAGATACCCTTCCTCGTCGGCACACCTGCCCAACACCTGCGCCCAGTCACAAATGTCCCATCTTTCTGGATGTGGACGGAATCCGCGTGAGGGCTTGTGTCTCTCCTGCAGATACTCGCGCACCATCTCCGGACATGTCCAGTTCCACCCCCACAAGAGGAAATCGAGCTTCAGCCCCATCAGCACATCTTGAAATGCACGTAGACCGATCTGCGGCACCCTGAGTGGAGACACTCGCAGCTGGGGGACCTTCGACATTGCGGTTCCTGCACACACAAACGTTCTTCCTTTCGCTCGCTCTCTCACAATCGCCACTGCGCGTCGGCCGCTCAAGCACTGACTGCTGTCACTCGCTCTCCTCTCGCGCTCAAGTTCGCTACTCGCAATTCTCTCCAAGGTCTGTCAAGATCTTTGCGCAACTCGCCTCCGCACTCTCTCCTCTCACTGCAGGTCTCTCCGCCCTTGCGCGTAATCTTGGAAGCTGGGAATCGCAAAATCAAGAATGAGAGAATGAGACTGGAGAGCAGTCTTTTCTTCTCTGAATTCAAGAACGTCCAACGTTCTTACTGGTTACAATTTACGCAGCCAGCTATACGGCCTAACGGTTCGCCCTTGCATGCTTGAATTCACGTCTCCGCACTGCGCGCATTCGCATGCGTGAATGTTGAATTCTCCCGCCGCCACCGTCTTCCGGACTCGAGTTCGCCGCAGTGTATACGTCGGCTATGTTGTCTTTTCCTAACCCGACCATCACCGGAGGCGTGTCGCCGCTGGCGTGTTCCTTATCCGTCGGCGCCTTGCTGGAGGCGCACATCCAGTCGGCGCGAATTACGCCGGCGCGTATTCGTACCGCTTATTTTGTCCGTTCTGCCTCGTCCATTGCTGACGGCGCATATCCCGCCGGCGCAAGTCATGCCAGCGCATCCGCCTATCAGCGCCACGTCAGAGGCGTACATCCGGCCGGCGCGTTTCTTCCGTTGCGCAGCCGCCAAAGGTGCTTCCGACTCTGAGTTGATTTCCTCCCATGAGCGCGTGATTTCGCCGAAGGCGCATCGCCGAAGGCGTACGGGAGTCCTTTCCGACTGTGAACCCTAGCGCGAACGGCGCATGTCCGGCTACGAGTTTTCCGACGCTCATAACTTCTTCGTCCCTGATTCATCTCCGACGCTCTTGGGCTCGTTAGAACGAGCGTCCCGAGCTCTTTCTAATGCAACCTCAACCAACTGGAACTACCGTGTATTCCGGTCGTTATGAAGGTTTCCCTTTCCGCGCTAGCGGCGCATCGCCGAAGGCGCACTCATGGTAGGAAGCCTTCAGAGGTCCGGGCCGTTCTTCTGACGTCTTTAGCAAAATCTCCTCCGGAGGTGTCTGCGCCGGAAGCGTAGCTTCCTTAAACGCTGGAAGCGCGTGAGTAGAGACACCTCAGCAAAGGAGCTTTTGCCGAAGGCGCCGAGGACATTGGCGCTGGTACATCTGACTTCGCGATTCTTCGTGACCTCGTGACGATCTCCTTAATCCACTCTATTTAACGTACCCTTTTCTAACTACAAACACTGCTTCGGTACTAGTTTTCTAAAATTGTTTAAATTCTGCAAAAAAACAAAAAGTGTGTTACCACACACGTTGAGTTTGATCAACAAACTTAACTATAGTGGCATGAAGTTGACTTCCTATGTTTCCAATGGTAAAAGCTTCAGCTAAATCCAGATTATAAACATCAAGTGTTTCAGTCAAAAACTTGGTGACAACACTTTTTAACTCTTCAATCTTCAAATCATGTTAATATGAAAATCTCACGTTCTTTCTACGAACGAATTGATTTGTATTTTTAATGTTTTGCTCATGACAAAAAGATATATGAGAAACCTTGGTAACTTCAGCATATGATTTCATTTTCACTTCTAACTTTTCAACCACTTCATGCAAACCCGAACTAGTAAAAAAATATTCTTGAAAACATGTGACTTCTCTTGAATATCTTCAACAGATCTAGACATATCAAGCATTGCCAATTTTGATCATCCTTTCCATCTCAATTTGTGAACTCTTCAATTCTCGGATTTGAGTCTGTGCAAGAGTCAATTGAGCCATTTGCATACTGAATTTGAGTTTCATCTCTTTCACTGTGTCCAAACCGTTTTGCACCAAGTTTAGAATATTTTCTTGAGAAACTGCTTATCAAAAACTCCCGTATCAAAAACTCAAAACTCAAAAATGACTCAACTTCATCCTTATAATTACTTTAAGTCTAAAATTTTGCACTCTCATAAGTCTTACCCAAGTCCAAAATCTCACGAAGTTTCAGGTCCAGTGCACATCCGAGCTCGAAGAAACAGTCCCATAAGATTCTACTCTACTCCTTTTAAATCTTAAAACTCAAAACTCAATACACTCTGAACCCAAAACTCACTTGAACCTATCTATGATCACTTAACACTAGAAAAATCTATATGTACCGTAACCTATTGGTGTTAAAATGAATCTAATAATAAGAGAATGTTTTCTCTGTGAATTTTTTATCTAATCTGAATAAATCTAATCACATTAGACATATAATTTCCTATGCCATTAGTAGGTTTTCATGTTGTCCGAGAGGAAAAGAAATGCGACAACTGCACTACCACAACCGCTGTGGATTCTAGGGATTTTGTGAACAAGGATGGATGATGATTAGCAGTGATGATGTCAAAGCAAAGAGTTTGGGAGTCTTCGTTGGGCGATGGAAAATCTCCCACGACTTCGATACGACAGGGATATGGATCGTCTTCGCAGGAGTTGTTGACGATGTCATACTCAAGTGCCTCCCTCCATGCAACGGCGAGGCCTCCATCGTTCGTTCATTGTCAGTCTTAGCATGTGGGACGCTGTAAACTTGCAACAGGGATGGGGATACCCCATCGAATTCCCATGCTGTACTTCGATGGAAGCAAACGGGCAATATGGGGCTTGCCTGTAATGAATTTCTGCGAGAGCTGACGTCGTCAATTCTCAAACGGACTAGACTCCAGTTCATGCACATCATGAAAGTTGGATAACATCAATCACACTCGACTGACACGGAAGTCAGCTCTATGACCGTCATTCTCCATACCCCTATGAGGGAGTTTGACTGCCGTCTCCACACATCGACTCCTTACGGCAGGACAATATGTTGTGAGACTAGTATGTAGACAAGGATAACACATTAAGGATAGTAATTAGAATAGCAATACTCTAGTTCGTCCAATCGAGTTCGAGTGCCGCTGAATTCTCGATCTGCAATCTACTATTTAACGCTGGCCTGTCTGTGAGGTAAGACAATCGAGTTTGCATGTTACAACATGGTATGAGGCCACTGTCTCCCTTGACATTTTTTCTTCTATTGTTGACTTTGAGTACAATCCATACTAATTGTGGGATTATTTGAGTACCTTTGAACAGTTCAACGATGCACAGCGAACATCTTATCTTGACTGAAAAGCTGGCCCCACTTAAATTAGATAAATTTATATCACTGTTAAGCAATATCTTTTTAAACTATACGGACATTGAATATTCAGCTTGCCGACAGTGATTTGATTCACTATACGATTATAGGGCTCCCTCTCACGTGGGCACCCTTCGTCTCTAACTTCAGTAGCGATCTCTCTCGAAACCCTCCGCCCAATTTCACCAATCTCTCTCAACGCCTTCAGCCCAACAGCAACTGCATTGATAGCCACCAGGAGGAGCATTCTGCCGAAGCTGTTTCACAAGTCAACTATCGCAATGCACGCTTGTTTCTTATATAGCTAAGTTAGTCTAATTACCATAATCAAATTCAATACAATTAATACAAGTCTTGAATAAACAATTAATATCATTTAATAATTTGAGTTGTGAGGTGTTATGATTTTTCTAATAAAATGTAAAATGTCATGTATGAAATTATATCAAATATGACCTCAATGAAAAATACACACCAAGGATCATTTTTTTTCAAGAGTGTCAAATTGTTATGGTTCATGTGTTCACTATTAATGTTCATTTCTATTAGGTTATATTTGTATTTTATCTAGGTTGACTACACTACATACTTCTTTGCATCCCACCTATAAGATTCTGGAAGATATTTGTTGTATGATTCTATGGAAGACAATACATTATATGACCTTGAAGTATCACTCATTTGATTTTAAGTATAATTTCGAAAGATCGATAACAATCATGAAATTTGTCCACAAAAGGATCCCAGGAATCTCGCTTTACTCTTCGCTAAATCGCAAGATTGGCTCATTCACACCTACTAAACTGGACAGCATGGCCCTTCCGGCATGTATACAGAGAAGAGGACCGAGCTAATCTGCTGCACCTGTTGGTATAAGTGAAAGTGATCGCTGCTGCAATCAGATATCCCCGAGGCCTTACTTCACTCGAAACCCTCACGATTTGGATGAACCACCAGCCTGGACAGAGGCACTCTGCTGTATCTACAAACCACAGTCGGCACTCATCTCAGCAAGCGAGAACTGTCGTCAGTCTCAATTTCATCCCAAAACAATTCAATGATTGCAGGAAAATAGCTTTGAACTGTACCATGTGGAGGCCATTACAGCAATTTTCGGTAATGCTAGATTTTCTTCTAATGTTTTTCAGTGCTTCGGGTGGAGTGCATTGCATGATGCTGGGACTGAGGTCGAGCTCTTACACCCTTGTTTCCAAGGTCTCCATGTTTAGTCTCCGTCTTGTACTCTTATGTCATGAGACTTTGCACATTCTCTGTGCATAACATAACTGAGGATGCAATGGGGTCATGCAAGTGACATGAAGCTTATGGTCAAAGAATTAAAACATAGGTGAAAATCTGTTACACGAAAGAAGCAGCATCCGACAGAATGCAAATGTCGACGGCGTGACAGCCACCCTTACATGATCAGATCTTCATCCAATTTCGGCAGCTCGCCTCAATGCTGCTAACATGTTTGTCACACATTAATGTGGGATCTACCAGATTCACTGCATGGAGCGGTGAAGTTGGATCATGGATCATGGATCTTTGCTGAATTTTGGAAGCTCAGCAAATCGTAAAACATGGAGGGCCTCCCTCATCCCACATTCTCATCTCACAAGAAAAAGGCAAGTCCTGCGTCTACAAATTTTGGGAATGTGGATAAAAAAAGATGGAAAAACCCCATCATGGCGTACAAGAGAGGAGGAATCAGAAGCCCAAACAACGAGGAACAACCTCTAAGGCAGTTCTCAAGGCTGAACTATAAATCAACCCTAGACATGTAGTTTTCGTGTAGTGTGTCATACCCCCACTTTAAAAAAAGGGCTCAACGCTAGAACTCGGCACGGCAAACCATCGACCTTGCGTCTTAGAGAGTCAGTCCACCAGCTATTCGAGGTTGGCAAATGACCAAACTGGGATCGGATGATCGCTCCACAAGCCTCTCTCTGCTCGCGGTCGCCAGTTGCTGCTCGTAGCGTGAATTATGACGTCCAAAGATCACGATCGCCAGTGAGCTCTATAGATACAGTCTCTGGTCAGGTACTTTGAATGGCCTGCTTGCTCTTATTTGGGCTACGCCAAAGAGCTGGAACGGGTGACAGCTAGCCATTAACAACCCCTCGTCGCCATGGAGGGTACTCTGAGCTCTCGTCACTACCTCTGATCATGTCAACTACTTCGGATCCGTACTCCTCTTCCAAACCATAATCCTCACCAAAATATTTATCTATCAACGTATTTGCCATGAGCCGGAGTTCGTCATTTTCGTGGAACTGCAACGTTTCCATGGCTGCGATGCCATCTTCCTTCTCTACAACCTTGGGGCCTTGCCCTCCTGGTAAGCCCCTCATTACCTGCAGGATGAGTTTCATGAAAGTCATGATTCCAAACTTTCCGTGATTCACACATTTGAGGGGCTAAATGAGTTTTGGAATTCCGATAAACAAGAATGCTATCAAAACCAAGTCTTTAAATGCAAGTTGAGCAACCTTTACCAGTTCAAGAAATTGAAGACCGAGTCTGGCAGCCTCCATGTCGGGTGACTTGACCAAAGCTGTGAAACCGGGTATGCAACCCCTGTCCACAAGGACCGTCAAATGCTCAACAATGGGGTCGACTTCCTTGGCCTTCGCTTTCGGAGCAACACACACATTTCCCAGAGCATACGCTGCTTCCTTTCTTACATCAAAAGCTGCAGTCGCTAGTAGATGAAGTAAGGATGGTATTGCCCCACCTTGAAATACCATTCGCTTGTGCAGCATTGAACCCGCTGCGATATTCGAAACTGCCCAAGCTGCTTCCTGCACAATCCATTGGGCGAAATGACCAAGCAAAAATAAGACTTATGTTTTGGTATCCGGGAACTCATACCGAAGACTGAGAAAAAAACACCTTACTTTGATATAATATGATCTCTACGTCATCTAGCCATCTTCGATATGAAATCAAACTCATATATATCAAGATGATGGACAAATTCCGTTGTGATCCGGTTGGCTGGGATACTCGGCTCGAACCCGAGCGCCTCCGGCTCGGATCCCGACGAAGGGAGCACTATTTACACTTTCCATTGCCGGGACTTGAACCCGCCAACGGAATCTGTATATAGTGTCTCCTTCGTTGGGACCTTCTACTTTTATGCATCAAGCATAGTAGTATGCTTGCTCGATTAGCAAGCATACTACTATACTCAGAAGAAAGATATCATTAATGTAAAAATAATTAATTAAGATAGCATAATTTTTTATATCAACAAGTTTTTAAAAAAATATGATTGGCAGAGTATTTCGGTAATTAGCATGTTTTTTTAACATTATTTTTTAGCATTCATTCATGAAGTACAATTCATCATTGTGGATTGAAAAATCACAAGTTATGTGATAAAATATATATCTGAAAAAAATTAATGAGTGACATCATTACTTATTTTAATGATAATCAATCAATGAAAAATTCAAGTTCTAAGAATAATTTATTTTATATTTAGTAAATAGAGATATTATTATTAAAATGAACGCAGTTGTGAGCAGGCCTAACTACCCAGTTCTCAGACAAACGGGTGTACACCTGAGCAAGTGTTAAAAAAACAAGCGCCAAGACGAGGGGCCTACCTTTTGCATGGTGCGATGACCCATATCCAAGCAGCGAGTAAGGGCTCCAATAATTCCACCTGAGGTGAAAACAACAGTCCAGGAACATCATATCAGTCATTTCTTGGAAATTTTAACCATAAATAACATAAGCCTTCGTGAGAAGTAATCCTGGACATTCCGTTTAAAAGCATTCGGAGAGACGGCAAAGCTCAAGATTTCGACGAACGTAATATAAGATCCTAAAGGTAGCTCTAACTTGCGTTACTATTGCTTGCTGGAGGTGTACACATTTAGGGCATGCTAGAATGTCACGTCAGTCTGTCTGAAGCAGCTAGTCATGTAGACATAACTTCATAAAGAGTTGTCAATGTATATAGCTACTTGTAAGGCAACTTTTTAGTCATAACTGGGGCTTCAGTCTTGTATACGTAGGGAATGAAAGCATAGAAGACTTGCCGTTTCCACTGTACATCTTTCGACAAACAGGTCACTAGTGCCAGAGTCTATGAACTTAAGAGATTCTGGATTCTCCCCTTCCAACAGTCCTATCAGTCCTCGTTTTCTCTCTTTGTTTTGCTTCATTCTGCAGGCATAGCTCTCTTGTTTAACAATCATACTATCACCGCCGGTATGCTTGTAATAGAGCATGACAGGAATAGAAATGCATAACAAAATTGAAACAGGAAGAATGAGGATGATGACAGGACAGTTTCATCGAAGAGCTCACCGGAGATATCTCCACCTGCATTTAGAACTGCGTCTGTCTTGGAGTTGTCACCGGCGACTATATTCCCGATACATCGTAGAAACTTGACATTTTCAAAAATTTGCAACAAGTTAACTCGGGAAGACGGAATACGAAGGTCAACCACATCTGATTTAAGGATCCCCATCATCAATTTACGTTGACACTTGCCAGATGTCCTCAGCACGTTTAACCTTCAAATGATGTAATGATTTACACCAGGTTCCGGCTGCCATTTTCATAAAGATATACATAGCAACGTCCAACGAGGAGATGATATCCACTGAAGGTATAAGTAAATCCAGTCTTTCCAATCCTGCCTAACGGGAACATCAGGAACTACATGCTACACTCGTTCTAGCTGTCCAATCACAGGAGACTTGACAGGCTATGGAGAGAACTGAATTTCCCTTCGGATTTCAATCCAAAGTGGACTCACCGGAGTCAGCAGTGCCGTCTGATCAGACGTGCCTAGCTTGTTTATAAGAATTGGGAGCAGTCCCACGCTCAATAGAATACCAGAATGAGCATCGGCCATCGATGTAAGATACACCATCACCCAAGCGAGTTCGACCATTAGTTCTTCATCACTGCAGTCCAGAATACAATAAAACGAATAAGGTGTAATCCAACTTGTAACTACTACATGGAACTGTTCGCAGTGATGATGTATCCTCATCAGGTGTGAAGTTTTATGCACATGCACATAATAAGTGTCTAGATGATCTACCTCATGTACGTGTTGTTGAAAGAAGAAAGAACTCAAAAGGCCAAAAGCACTGATGGCAACTGGAATATGACTTCACCCTTTCATCATTAATCCAACCAAAGTGTCTGCCATGCCTTCGATCTTCATAAGATCAGATGCTGCCCTTGGACTTGGTCCCTGAAAGCCCAATCAAAATAGACACTCAATGAAGAGCCATGAAGACGCACCATATCCTACAATCCTCCTGACCTCTCGAAGAACTGTTACTCAACAGAATAAAGATGAAAACTGAAACTGCTCCAACCTCCGAAGAGATGCACAGACCATTGGGAGAATATCATTCCTATTTAACCTCTCCAAAAGAAACAACCGACAAAAAACTTGGCACTCTAATAAATTATAATAGCACTCCAATTGGCACTCTGCTGCATCAGTAAATCTCAATGCCCGAGGCGCTATTTCACCTTGATCAGATTTGACATTGCCCAGGAAGCTGTTCGTGCCAGGGAAGGGTAAGGAGATGACATCAGTCGAGCAAGGGGCCGCATGGCTCCTTGTGCCAAAAGTATATCTCTCATCTCCTCTCCCTCACCGGCGACATTTCCAATCGCCCAGGCACACTGTTCAGCTACCGTTGCAGCACTTTTGTCTGCAAGAATTTCGCATATAATATGTAAGACGTAAGCTAGAAATGATGTCAGCATGAAGAGATCGGGAAGATGATAACTTTCTTACCTCCTAGATGACTGATCAGATAGGGTAAAGCAGGTAGAACAGCCTTTGTCAAATCCTGTTCGCCGGATGCAATGTTGGTCAAGCACCATGCTGCCTCCAGAATCTGTTTCCAAGGATACCACAGAATTCACTCGTTCAAAGATACTTGGGTCCGACTTAACCATGAGAGAAGTGCATATCAGGTTGAAGTCTGGGGATTCTGGATGAACTTCATGAGAGCCTATTCGAAAACGGTTATAAAGCAAGAGACTGAGCTTAATTTTCTAGTCTCGTCTATCCCCTTACGCCACAGATGGTTTCGGAAATTTATAAACAACACCTTGCAGGACTGTGCACTACACTGGCTCCATATAAAATCAACGGCCATTTCAAGGTCACAAAATCCAATACTACATTGTTCAATTGTGGATACCGCATGCTGCTATATGGCGACAGACTGGTCACCTTGATCATACCTGTTCTTCCGGTGAACCAAACGCAAGGCACTGGACTAAGAGGGGTACAACTCCAGCTTCTACAGCAACATTCAATGGCGGCATCGCGTTGCATGATAAAAGACTCCGAACATTCCTCAAAGCTTCAATCTTCTTCAGCGCCATATCCTTCCCAAGAATGATCCCACTACACGACATCGAAAAAGAACAACTGTCATGTTCGTAGCTTCTTGTTACCGATATCAAGTCCCATAACTACTTCAAAATTTGCTTGTACTGATGATGCTTTAAACCCGGGACAACTGTGTAGAACGAACTTCTGGGCTACCATCACAACCCTGTGGGTGGCTTACGATCATTTTGTTCCACAGAGCCCAGTCAAAACAGTCCCTGCATTCGCTGAATTCCTTGTGAAGTTCATACAACTGAAGTTCAAGCCTTCCACTGGGCACCACCTGTGATGATTGAGCTGCTATGAACTATCCAGCACAAACTTAGGCTCGAGGAGTATGAGAAAGCCTCGACAGAAGCGTAACAGCAAGATGTGAACGAACTTACGGTCCAACATACTCGCGGAGGGCCTTCACTGCCTTCAAAGTGTTCTCCTCCAAAGCCCTTGACGAAGCTTCTGCGGCTCTTGCCGTAGCTTCCTCATCCATGTGACTATCCGGTGCTTCCGATTGATCTCCGTTTGGAACTGCATCTCCTCTACGCAGGCGTTTGGCTCTCACAACCGCCTCCCTCCTTTCCTTCCCGATTTGTACAGCCTGCTGTCTTCTTCGATGACCGGCTTGATTTCCAACTATATTCCCACAAATGGCAAAATTTCAGAAGTGTGAATGATAAGAACTTGCTATTACAACGTGAAGTCCTGTACAGCACGATTCGAAACCCAAGTCATGAGTTCAAGTCGAACATCATCACCAAATATTTTGTTTTGTACAAATTACATCAATTTTTAAGGCACTTTTGGAATTACGAAGAAGTGGGAACGGTATTTTCGAAGTGGCGTCTCTTGGAGGACTCTTGAAAGTGGAAGCTCTTAAAACGCTAATCAATGAATATTCTCCACAATACACTATACATCTATTTTCCTCGCATGAACATGTAGAAAGGAATCTGTGGCCTTTCTGTCCCAACAAAGACGGACTTCATAATAAGAAGCGTCACTTGGAGAAATCCACTCTTCGTAGCTCATCGGGGATTCTTCTTCCGATCATATCCGACATATTGCTAAAATCTGGACGAGATTGACGAAGAAACGCGTGACCTTCCCGGGGATCAAGAAAAGCCATGGATGCGAAAGTTCCCAAAACAACAACTTGCTCGGAACAAGGTACAATAGCTGAACGATTGATATTCCTCAACGATATTCTGCCAACACGACGACTCTTCATACTAGAGGAAACAATCCCCAAGAACGGCAAGAATTTTTACCGAGCCTTAAAAATTTTCCAGCTTCTCTTCCTAGGCAAATGCTAACGAAGAAACAGCAGATCTCGGTTGTTTTTTTATAACATTTTTTGGGAGAAACCACATTGCCCTTCTGGTGGCTTCATTTTCTGTGAGGTTACAAAAACGGTGTAGAAGGCGATCGACCAACTTTCGTGTCATACACCAATCAAAGTGGACGATCGAAAACAACAGAATGACATGTCGCATGTTCCCTTTTCTACTCTGCCTCTCGTAGTTATCTGAATTATGACCTCTCCAAATGCTGCCTCAATTTTCCTTTCCCCGTTCGAATCTTTGTCTTCCGTTTTTAAATCACCTTCAGCACAGAATTTTAAAATCGACCGAAAAATCCTCCCGATAGACCACAGTGAACCTCTTCTGATTTGAATGTTCTTCCTTCTGGCCGACGTGATGACTCGCACTGCAGATAGCGAACCCCCAGTTGCCGTGATAGTGGCTGCATCTAGAGCGGCTCCAAATGCCACTTGGAGTAATTCGTGCAATGTCAAAATAATTCGTTTATTTTGATAAAATATGGTATGATGACAGGTGACAGAGCTTACAGATAACATGACTTGAACCCTATGTCAACTAGAGAACCGATTAGCCCCTCAGAGCATTGAATTATAATAGTGAGTACCACACTTCACTCGCTGGCCAATCACGTCACACGCTGAGAGAGACTAGGGACCAGAAAACCTGCGAACCCACCTGGACTTTTCAAGTGATTCCGGTGTTGCGGAGGAGCTCCGAAATTACCCTCCATTTCTTCACATCCACCTCACACTCAAACTTTTCTCATTAGGTTCTCAAAGCTGGAACCTCATCCACGCTCAGCTCGGAAGCTCTCGAGCTCAACCGCAACCAGGTCTCCGCAACCGCTGTAATTTACAAACCGAGCACCATCGGCTTATTGAATTGTCAGGAATCCGGAGCAATCCTCACGACGATCAGTTCAAGCTGAACGCGGAAGGTTTTGACCTCGACAGCCCTAATCACCACGACGCAATCAAATTTAGGGCCCAAAAAAACCCCGCCACTCCCCGACCGTGCTTGTACTTCACAAAATCGCATCCATCAGCGCACACCCTTCCGTCAAGTGACCTGCAACGCCGACCATCAGCGACTCGTGACGAATTTCTTTCGCAATTAATCAATCCTCGCCTCGGATCATTTCAACCGCTATAAACAAACAGATTTTTCTTCCACTCCCTCCTTCCTCGTCTAGCCTCCCTCAATCCAATCAATCCAACTCCGCGTCAGCAAGGAACTCTAATCCCGTCCTCCCTGTCGTTAACACGAGTGACAGTCGCAGCAGCGCAGCAGGCTGTAAGATGTAAAGAAATACGAGGAACCCGCACACTTCAATTTAAAAATGAACCAGGAAAATCGCGAGAGCGAGAGCAACTCCCACCGATTCTGCGAGAGCGGTAGGAGTGAGTACGTCCGTGGAAACGCACTAACGGCGGCAGCATGGCAGCGGAAGAAGGAGGAGGGGGAGGGGGAGAGGAGATGCAGAGGCTGCAGCCGGGCGGACAGACAGCTAGCTCGACGACTGCATCAGCACTAGCACTAGAACTCGTGAAAGCCCGAGGACCCACCGTCCGTCCAGTGCCACTCGCTCGCTAGCTCGATCGCCCGATTCCGTCCAGATGCAGTTGGAGATTGTCGTCGTGCTGCTCCACCTCCTGCTGCTTCTTCTGATGCTTCTGCTGCATCCCGCGGGCTGGGCTGATCTTTTCGCTGCTGCATATTCCTGACACGTCAAGCACCCCCCTCCTCCACTACAGTAGTCATGGTTGTTGCGCCCCCTCCCCATCGCCCTCCCCGCTCCCCCCTTCCCCTTTCCATCTCCTCGACCGATGGTCTTCCCCTCCCCTCCCCTCCCCTCCACCCCCCGCGCTCAAAAAGGTTCTCTTCTCCTCTCCTCTACCCCGTCTTCTTCCCCGCCACCTCGCCGCACTGTTCAGAGCGCCCTCTGTATCCCCTCCAGCCTACCCCCTCCCCACTCCCCACTCCTCCTTGTATATTTCCATTTCCACGGGTGATCTTCCCCCTCTTCCAGCTTTTTGTCATTATTCGGATCGATCTCCCGAGGGGCCCGAGAGTCCCGTCCTTTGGGTTTTCCCCCTCCATAAGTTAGTTGATGCCGACGGTCAAGGGGGTCGCACTTGGCTGTCGTTATCGAGGGGCCACTTTATCTTCGCTTCACGGGTAAGTGGCAAATGGGGAGGAAGAGAGGGCTCTGGCACGGATCGATGAATTGACATGGGACGAGAACTATCGTTTTCGACACATTTTGCCAAATGTCGTGCTACATGGCCTTTCCTCTCCCTCTTTTGTTGGTATACTCCCTCGGGATCGATTTGTCGAGTTCAGACTCACTTCAGCAGGAGCAGTTAGTTGCATAGACACGCCACCAATCGCCAAATCACTCACCTTGTCATCAGCAGCAGCAGCAGCAGTTGATGAGAGTTGTCCCGGGGCGGTCAATAAAGGCATTTCCCTATTCGCAGGCACTGAGACCGGAGATGTCTCTGGGGTGCACATCACACACACACATATGACAACGACTTGGAGTCAGTGCCCAAGGCGAGAGCTGCTTATGCTGCTGCATACGATCAACCGATTATCTCTCTCCCGCTCTGGTTCTCCGACGATCATGAGGAGCTTTGACAGGGAATACTTATCTCGGTCCAGGATCTTCCAGATACAGTTCGAGGGTTTGGGATGTGCCACGTCTTTGAAGAAGAAGTGAGTCTCTCACACTTGGCAACTTTCGACAGGAGCGTCTTGTCGGCATAGATCTCGTTTTATTTTCAGACCAGGCAGCCTCCTCGTTAGCGTTCATGATTCCGACTTCACCTATCCTTTCGCCAAAAAAATATCATCAGATTGACATTCCTGAAAAGATGCAGAAAGGGTGCAATATCTATCCATCGTTCCAATTTTTCTCCTATTTCTAAACTCGACCAAACATTGGTAAAAAAATTCATTATAGAATTTTTTTCTATGTCTTTTTTACGATAAATTTATTATCTCGTTATTTTCCTTATCAGGGTATGAAAGAAAACTTATATCTAATACTTACTATGGTATATTCGTTGATAGAAGAGGAGCTTCAACCAAAGGGCAGAACCAGAAAGTTGGTACGTTCAATCAGCAATCAAGGTTAAAATATACTTATGAAGTGTGTTGTCCAGTTTTTAGAGCCTCGATGTCCCTCCCACCAAAACATCACATGTTCAGATAACTTACAATATTGCTTTCTCTCTTTTGAGAACAAGGCTCCCCATCCCACTGAATCTTACAATGATCCGAATTCGACAAGGATCTGGTCTCGAGCTCACCTGCATTCACTCCAGTCCGGATTTTGTATAGGGGCATCCAAGTTCTACGAAGCATGGATTTGTACGTGAGAAAATCCGATTTACGTCATGAGTTTGGAACTTCCCGTCCAGGAAAAGAGCGAGACAGAAGAAACAGAAGCGCCCCCTTTGGAAGTGTTCGGATGCTGACGAGAGTGAACTAGATGTTCCTCGAAGCAATGGCCACACAGAAGAATATATGAGTGTGCTGGGGAAAGGCAACAGCATTATGTAGATTCCATTCCAACATGTTGCCCGATTTCTAGAAGACCCACCAATCATACGAAAAGCTGTGCATGAAAACGCGATCGAGGGAATCTCAGTTGCACGTTGCAAGAGTACGTACCATTGTCTCGAGGAGGGGCGAGGGGCGGGGGGCGGGCGTAATCTCACTGACCGACCGTGCAGGTCAAAGCAAAAGACGTCGAGGGGTCGTTCTGCTGTCCGACCCGATGATAGGGGTATCTTCTGTGCACGCATCGGAAACCAAATCCCACAAATCCCAGCCAGAAACTTTCCTGGAAAGGTACGGTGCAAACAAAGCATTTAGCCAGAACTATATTGGACTCAAATTCATAACAGCGGGAACATTTGAACTGTTTGAATTTTCTGACGTATGCGTGAATTGGAATCAAGCCCTCTCCATTCTCTCTCCCTATGTTTGCATCAGCCAGTGAGTAGCAATTAGGGAAGTTTCCCATTATGTAAGACCTCTGTAAAATGTAACTAGAAACTGCACCTCTCAATGGTTCAGAATGAGGAATTATTTTAGAGAAGTGTAAGTGCAATCTAACCCAGAATCTGCACTTGCGGATAATGAAACAGAGTTAGTTAAGATGATGAAGGTTGACTAACTGCTTTGTACTTGCGCAGTCATTGCACTTAAAAGTTGTCCTCCAAGTAAACGAGTTGCAATTGTCAAATATCTGCAGTTATTACTGACTTGATTTATACTCTCCTTACTAGAACCCAGTCGTGCTCTTGTAGATGGTAAAAAGAGCATTCTGCAAGCACCTGCAAGTAATATACTTAGAGAATATTTAGCTTATTGAGGAATGATCACGTTTCATGCTATAACATACACTCCGCTAAAGCTTCACTGGACGTCATCCTACTGGTCAACCTTATTGGAGCCCTACTGACTACAGAAGCAAGCAGATGTGCATTTTGACTGATGGGCCAGGTTCTCCAGTTTCAGTGGAAGATCAGACTTCAGATCCCCGAAGGACTAGGGAAGCTTTGTCGTTTTCTTCTGCTGTGGTAGTCTTCATTTGGAAGCATCATCTGCCACCGGCCGCCGGTATGATAGACGAAAGGAACGCAGCTTTAACCCAGACGATTATTCCCGTTAGTCCAAAATCGGCAGCTCTAAAGTGGCGTGCAATTTTGGCCTCCCAAGGGCTATCCCGACTATAAACCATGAGAACCTGCAGTGTGCAATGCCTGTGTTCGAGGTTTCAAAAACAAGCGCCACTTATAGAAATTGGTCTGTATCTTTTGATCGAGCATCTACTGCCACTCCAACGAAGATAGTCGCTACCTTCAGGCCTGCAGCTATGAAACCTTGAATTACTGACCTTTTCCAGCATTGACTGTTGTGGGAAACTGCTTACTCTGTGCAGTGGCACCTACTTGCGTAATTCCAGAGGTAGACTTGATGTCGAGATTGAGCAGAAGGGCAGAATGGAGGTCATGTGAATCGTTAAAATGAGCCTCAGAGAGTCTGTGAAAACTTGTTTTTCGGGTGGTTCCGACTTCCCTCGAGAGCAGAACTAAAGAGCGAGAAAACTTCAGGACTATTCTCTGATAGAGACCCAACGTGTTTCGTCTCCTCGACAGTTTAAAGATATCTAGAATTGTGCAAATATGTACTAATTTGAACTTTTTGTATCTTCAGAAGTGATGTGACCAGGATGTAAATCATTTGTTAGCCAGATGCCAGAAACTTAATGTTCTCATCGTCAAAGGTCAGACGGAGTTCCTCGAGGGTAAAAACTGACGGGGATGCAAAATCAAATCAGGACACCGTGAGAGAATTTGTAAAAGCCCACTCCTTCTAATGACTAGCAGACCAGTTGGTCTAGAACGTCCTTTGACGCACTCTTGACAACAAATAATTGAGTATACATGTACATTTATGTGAGGCTCTAAATGCCCAATTCCTTCTTGATTTTGGCAAGCATCTCTTCAATTTCTGCAATATCTGACTCAACTTTATTCTTTCCTTCATCGTCCTCAGAGATCTTGGGCTCACTTGGATCTCTCTTTTCCTCTCGTGCACCAGACCGTTTCCCACTATCCCAGGGTTGGTAGTCAGAACGATACTTAGAGGACTTATCGCCTTCATTTGCGTCAGCAATGTTGAGCTCCTTCTCTAAGAATTCCACAAACTCTTCACCGATTTCCTGAAACGGCAGCAAGAAAGATCAGTTACATGTAATGAAAAGATCGATGACGCATATCAAGACCACTTTTTAACCCGCTCTTCAATTATGCTCCTCCCGCCTGAGGATTCAACCCTCATGTACAAGATACTTTCGCACCAGAATTCATTAGGTTGAAAGATTTCGGACCAGTAAAAATGTCAGGAATTCCAATGACTTCCAGTACCCTGCAAATTCAGCTTCTCCCATTGTTGTGCCTAGATCTAGCACTCATTCTTGGAGCCATGAAGAAAATTGTCTCACATTAGAATTATGCATGCCACTGGTTCATCTCTTCAGTATTGATACTCTCTGTATACTGGTTGAATTGATCATTACTATATCTTGTATACATAAACATAATCATGCTGGGTAAGACTCGTTTCTCATTCTGCTGACTGATCGGGCTCGTAAAACTCTTCCCTCATTGGCCTCTGAGATCTCGCGGTCCACCTCAAATAACCTTTCAAATTCAAGCTTCGACACATCCTAAGCTCCATCCCAACTAGGAGGCCTACTCAGCATCAGCCCATGGTACTCGACATATACTTCGGGTTGGTTAAAGACACAGCTCTCCCACCATTAATACTTACTGCCTGGATTATGCCATCCGAATGAGTCCTATCTCGAGCGTTATAAACATCCACTGTGCTAGAAGTGAGAAAAGAGCGGCTAAATTCCTTATTGCGTGGAAGGAAGGGTAAATTTGAAACCGGAAGCCTGCAAACGCCTAAAAGTCACTTCGTGAAATGGGGCTTTTGACATGACCTTCTTCTCGATCGTCCACATTTCCCACTCAGCTTCTACATTAAAAATACTCAAGAATAAGAAGGTGGTCAGGTGTACACACCGCCAGCTCCTCCCACAAACTTTTGGGCTTTGCTTCTGTGTTCTCTTTCTTGCGAGAATCGGCTTGCAAATCTCGGAAAAAGTCTTCTGCACCAGTGTCAAACCCACCCAACATGAGCTTTGCTTCCAATCTCGACAACATGCTTCATTTCCAAGAAAAAGCGCAACAAATTCCTCGGCCCCACTACATAAGATGTGCTGAGAGTAGTGGCTCTACCAATCGATATCTGTACATCTTTGAAAAAGTCGCCTGCACCAGAAGCCACGCCACCACAACATTCTTAAAAGACATAAGATGTTATGAATGGCATCACCACCAACATGTTTCTTCACATGTTGGTCACAAACAAGTACAAACCTATGTCAAATGCGAGTGAATCACTTGCAGACTACTTGATGAAGGAACATCCAATCCTAAGATTGGAACCCAGCTGCAAGTTCCCAAGTCGAGTAAGTGAGAAAAGCGTACCCAGTCCATAGAACTCCTCCTCCTTTTGAGACGTTTTGGACGAGGGACTCTCCGTTTCCCAGCTGAAAGGATCCCACTGAGGACTTGCACGTCTACTCGAGTCATACTTGGCACGGCTGTTTGCATCGACCAATGTTTGATACGCAGCCTTTATTTGTAAAAACTTCTTTTCTGCGTCTGGCTGCATACTCCAAAACGAAGTGTAAAGTAAGACAGAAGGTAGCAGTCTGTTAATGACAAAAAAAATATTGGTGATTCGAAACAGAACTTCACCTAGTTCACAAGATTTAGTTCACTGCTGACGGAGCTGCGACTTACATATACAAGTCTTTCAAACAGCATAAACTCCACAGCTAATCAGAATGGTGTAAACTAACTCCTTGGATTTTAAACGTCAGAGCAAAGGATGGGCAAACCAGCTCTGGTTGGATAACTTTTGCCATTCCATAATCTATAAAAGGTTGATTTGATTTCCCTACTTAGCGCTTAGGCCAGGAAGCTACCGCAATGGATATCCCTGGCATTGTAAGATGGATAACATAAGGCTTCCATTTCATATATACAAAATGTATAATACATAAATCACTGAACAATTCCATCAGTGTTTTCTTGAACCTTTAACTTCTAGAATACAGGAAGTGACAACATTACTGAATGAAAGTATGTGCCCAATCCTTATAAGGCAACTAAATTAGATATTATTCTACAATTGGTCGCAATGTAACATTTGCATTTTCTGCAGTACGGCCACAACGTTCGCCTGTCCTATTGAAATGGGGGAAAACTCCAACCACCAGTGAGCAGAATATTGCTTGTGATAGAATTGCAACAGATAGCATGAGTACACGATTACACAGCTGTAAAATTCTAACAGAGACTCACAATTCATAGATGTAGATTTACATTCTGGTAGATGTAAGTCATCAGAGCTCACCTCTTTATTGACGTCAGGGTGAAATTTGAGAGCCAGTTTCCTATACGCTTGCTTGATTTCTTTCTCAGAAGCTGATCGGGAAACCCCCAAGGTTTCGTAATAGTCATCTACGGAAGCGCATAATCTCGTCCTCCTCTTCCCGGCTGTCTTATACACCCTCCTCACTGGCGACGAAAATTCGCCGCCACTCAACCCGCCCTGGGAAAATCTACTCCCTGAGCTCCTGAGAGAATTCCCCCTGCGCTTCCTCCTTTCAAATTCCAACCCTCGAGCCCTAATTCGCCCCGACACCAAGGCCCTACCCCGATCCCCATTCTCCCGACCCGAGCACGAAAGCTCGCGCCTCGAAACATTTGCGCAATCTAGCTCCGCTTCACAAGCTGCACGCTCCGGATACAAATACGAGTCCCGCACCTCAATCCCGCGCTTGAATTCGCTCGAAGAATTCTTCGGAACTCTGCAGCTCCAGCTCCAGCTCGAGCTCGAAACCTCGACGGCAGAGGAATTGCGCGAGAAGATTCCCGTCGCCGAGCTCAAGACGAAGTGAGCTCGGACGGCCATTTCCGCTCGTTGGGCGAAAGACTGCAGTCACGCGCGCGCGGTCGGGCTGCCGCTGGTGGTGCTCATGGCCCGTTCGACGCCCGCAACTGCGCGCAGGCTTTCGAATTCAAAGTTTCGCTCTCCACGAACGATTTGTGAAGCGGTCGCAAGCGCCCGTGCGCTGGATCGCGTCCAGTCAGTGAGTGATTGAGCGAGCGGGCGGGCGAGCGAGTCAGACGAGCGGCTTAGAGGTCCCGGTCACGTCGGACGTGAAAGAGCCGAGGGCGAGTGGGCGAGGGCAGCCACGTGGCACTGACGGCTGCAGTCGAGCAGCGCGAGGAGCAGGACCCGTGGGCATGGCTTGCACGAGGCTCGCTGTCCGCAGCCAGCCACGTGGCGATGACATGTCCTTCGCTGCTTTTCCTCGAAGCCTCCGCCACCACAGATCCGCTCCTCCGATTTCCGGCCTGGTTCCATCCGCCTCTTCTGCGGCTAACAACCGTTGGTCGGGCGCGGCGGGACCGCTGGAGAAGAGACAGGGAGGACTCTTTCGAGCTCTGGTTTCGCTTACCCGACCACCCAAATCCAATTAAAATACAAATGTTGTATAACTTTAATACAAATACACACGGTGACCGTGAGCGAAAATAGAACTAAAATAAAATATTATTGTTAAATCTGATGGAAACGTGTAGTAATAAATTTTCATGACGACGGTGTTTCGCATAACATGATGTTCATTTTTCACAGGCTTGAACTCTTCATTTCTGTTCAAGTCATTGTTCTTTATAATATTATATTACTTTCCAGTCTCAATTATTCTGAGTACCCTAACCCTTCAGAAATGAAAAATTTTTGCACCCCGCCTCCCACTTCCGAAGTAGTCTTCTGTTAGTGATAATTGTGCTTCTGGAGGTCAGATCAATATCATATGATCCAATCTTCATTCCACGATGTCATTTGGATCATAATGTATCGTTAGAATTCCGGCGTTGGAGCATACTAGGTGCACGGTGCGAGTAACACCTCAAACCAGTGGGACAACTTTAACGTGATGAAAACGTAAATTATGTAATTAGACCCTACAAAAATTAGAGCATGTAATGGCCCAATAATTTGGATTAACGGGCAGGTTGAAGAGGTTGACGCACGAGGAGTTTTATCCTGAGATCAAACATACAAGGTACCTCATGGTAAGAAAAATTCACACTTCAAACAAGTTGTACGACTGGATTGAACACGAACATCGAATTTGCTTGCACATTCAAAATTGGACATACTTGATCTTGTGATCAAGCATTTTCCACGAGCAAGTGACTTGCAACAAAGGTGTAAACTCAAGAATATCATCAAGATTATTACAAGACAACTTATATTGTTATAAAGAAAGTGTGTGAATAAAATTTTTTAAGTGTTATAAATCAAATCAAAAAACGCACTTAACAGATAATACCAATATTCTTTATGAGTGGTTTGAAAGTTTTATTGCATGCATTATGTCATGATACCAATATTCTTTATGAGTGGTTTGAAAGTTTTATTGCATGCATTATGTCATGAAGTGTCTCTTAAATTATCGTCTTCATTATGACTGAATTAAAATAATTATTTCATGTTTTGGCTAATTTGAATTAGATTTATCATGTTAAGTAAGTCTAACTAGCCTATCAGTATATTAGAGTGCTTGATTTTTATTTTCAATGACACAGTTGAGATATTATTTAATATCAACATTGTGCTTCAATGATGTATGATAAATAAATGAATCATGTATATTGGTTGTGTGTTTACACTATTTGGTTGGATAAACATATGATGTTAAAAAACCTCATGAATATAAAAGTTACAAGAGACATTTTATAGAAACAAGACTCATTTTGTGTATAAATTTTTAAAAAATGATCAAATATTATAGTAAATTGCAAAATATCTTGTAAAAAATATTAAATTTATTATTTTATTTTATTTTCTAAATTAAGAAATAAATGAATTTATTTTATATGAAAAGACTTTTAAATTTTAATACATTTCATTTCAATAAAATTATTTTGTATGTTCAAATTATACAATGATAGTGATAACAAAAATTATTTGATTAGATGTTGATAGATTGGATCATCTATGCATACGGAAATTGAACATGAAATAGAGTAAGCCACAAGTTGCAATTTGATTGCTTCAATATATCATTGAAAAGAAGAGTGTTCCACAAGTCTCAAAAGAGTATTAAAATGTTATCATAAAAAAATCTCATATTTTGTACCTTTGGATCTGATCATCAATCCAAAAAAATTGACAAATTGAAATGTGCTTTTCAAATTTCATGTTCAATTTTAGAATTTTGTACATCTCATATTACACAGGTCAATTTACCAAAATAGAATATGTATTGCATCATATATGTGATCAATTACATATATATAACAATAAAAATACATAATAATCATTTATGATATATTAAAGTCTCACAAAAATATAAACTTCATATTTAATTCACTATTTGTCCTATAGATTGTAACATTAAGGTCAAGAAAAAAATTCACTCATAAATTTAACATAAACCTTGAAGATGAAATAACTTGAATGGTTTTACTCTACTTTATATAGATACTTTAAATACATGCACAAGTATAAAATAATTACTCTAACATCCAAGCCATTCATAGTGAATTGGTGACATGGCGGATCTATTTAATGAGCACACGGATTGTTGACGTGTTAGTCTTGACCAGCACATTCAATCCAAATCTAACAAATGCACGGATTAAAAACGTGTAGTTTCTAACTAATACACATATTGCTAACATGAGATTGTACATATTCCACAATCATCTACTCAATTCGATGTTGAGTAATCCTTATTTTATCTCTAACTAACTAAAGATGTTTATGGAGATATACTCCTTTGCTTCATGTAATGTTTGTATATTTTTTTATCGAGCAAAGACAATATCTTAATTTAAATTAGAAATAAATTAATAGGATAATATAATATAAAACTACATAATTCAATCAGATCCATAAAATAAAATTTTGTAAATATTAATTAAAAATAAATAAAAATATCTAATATGATGTTATTTAATTTCATAATTCAATTTAGTCAAACAAGTTTCAAATTTTGAATTTGATGATCATACATGTTGCATATGTAAAATAATTGATCTCTTTAAATTATTTTAATTTAGTAGATATTAATATAAATTTGAAGAAAAAAATTATTCATAAAACATTAATATACACTTTGTTATAATTATTTTTTGACTTGCAAGATTTTTTTTCAATTCAAAATTAGATAATGATTTGCAGAAATGAAAATTTTCAACATATATTTAGACTCATAAATCCATGACAATCTCAAAAAAATAATTAACAATATCATAATCTATCATCATTTTGAAAAAAAATGAGTGATATAAAGTCAAAATATATGTAAACTTTATATGGTAGAAAATTATAGCATTACTTTACTTGAACATTGAAAATGATCACGTGTTTGATTATGTATTGATTTTAACACAATTTGAATGAGGTTTATATTTCTGATTTTTCTTATCATTTTTCATTTTATTTTTTTCAATGATTAAAATTTATCAAGTCACATAAGATTCAATTTGAATGTAAACTAATAATTATATCAATTACACCTAAACTATAAGATTTAAAATTTTTATCATTAATCTATATGTTTGCACTAAAGATGTTGAATTTTTTTTATCTAATGATATAAAATATCTTTTATTTATTTAAAATTTCAACTAGCATAAATATATTATTCAATTATATTTATTTTTTTTTGATTAAAAAAAACATGCTCAAAAAGTACAAATTTTGTAAAACTTGCTAGTATTTCATTTTGCTAAACTTGCTAAGCATATTGTTCAAATTAGCATAAATGCAGACAATAACCTTCATAATTGTGCAAAAAAAATCCAAAAAACATGTATTTCTAAATCAATTACTAATAAAACTACTATTTGTCTTGGAAATTTTTGTTCATAATGAAAACTTTTGTTGCTTTGTTTATATTGTTATTTGCTTAGAATTGGATTACTTGAAATCAAAATACTTGCATTGTTGTAATTGTACTTGACTCTTGACATTGAGGCATAACAATATTAAGATAACCTCACTTTTCCAAAATTCTAGCTTCAAATCATCTATGCATCACTTTTGTATTTGTACTATGAATTGTTTGTCATATAATCTTTCAAATTTTTTATTGATATTGTAACAATTTCTTCTTTGACAATTAATGTAGTTGGGGAAAATTTTAACTTGATGAAATCTTAGATAATGATTGAAATATCTGGAATTTTTTTTTTATCAAACTCCATATAATTTTCATGAGTAGTATGTTGATAGTAAACATCTTAGTATACATCATCATAACAAAAACAAGAAAAGTTCATATTTTCACCATAGTTTATGGCTTTCTTTTCACTCCAACTTTCTACTCCCAACCAAAGATAATGTAGAAAGTGCATTGTAGCCAATTCAACTTCAATGTCTTGGATCATTGTGAGCAATTATGAGAACATAACCAGCCTAGATATGAATCACTTAACCCAAAGAATTATCATCTATAGTCACATAGACTAGTAAACAACCTATCAGTGTGGTATAGCATAATATCAATTGTCTTGACACCAAATAATCATTACATGTAATTCAAACCGCTATCACATTCACCGCAACACATTGCTTTAGTATAGCCAAGTCTACCAATGCATCTTTAGTTAATTTAGTCCTTCTTCACATGTCATATCTTGGTTGATTGTTAAATTATCCTTGTACAAACTGTCTAGCTAATCAGTACCCAAAGTGTTACATAAGAGGTTTACGATTGGTAATCTTGGATGGTTGCTTTAGTTTATTTCCTTTCATGGAGAGGTGCATGTTCCTAGTGTACATCAATCTTTCTTTATTTGAATAAATCCATATTATAATTAGTAGATGACAATCATGTGTCATCTACAGCCAAGGAAGATGAACTCAACAACTGCAGTGAAACCACGTCACATTACTATGTCATGCCTTTTGTAACCAGAAGCGCACAATGTGTCAGAATCCAATGAGATTCAACGAACCAAAGACCGTCACAGGCTAGTGTACTGCCCCCCTATAAATCCTTTATTCATCTCAACTCAACAATCACACATGTCTAATAAACTGTAGCCATGAAGTTCACAAGTTAGTCGCATGTAGCTACTGCAAAGTGTTTCTATACATGAAAATTTAAATATATCTAGTCATAAGAGTAGTCATAATATAACATACCACAGTGTACATAACATAATCTATCTAGTCATAACTTCTGTCTTGAATGTCATCCAAACAAAGTTTTTTAATAATAAAGTCAAATTTCAGTGCATGTTTTTGCAAAATCAGACTTAAACTGCAAAAACACTTAAAAAGTTATATTCAACATATAGCTGTGTATACTGTTATATAAAGTACTCAATTATTGGAAAATTATAATTTAAAACCAAAATGCCTCATCATTTTTTCTTCTTCTATGCTCTAATGATTTCCAAGGAATGTGGTTTCACCAGATTTCACATTGTACGGTATTTTGATCGAGAATGAAGGTTTTTGATCGAGAATGAAGGTGCTATAGGAAACAAAAGCTTGGAATTTTTGCTGGAGAGTGTATCACCATATACCGTGGAGCCTCGTCTCCTTAATAACTGAGAAAGGTTGCATTGAAGAACATACAAGCTTGTAGTCAATATAAATTTGGAAAATTTGGTTGCCTCAAATTTTATGAACTACATATGTATGATGATCTTGTGAGTTGTCCAACCTTGATGCAGTGCTTGTGAGAATGTAGATGCAGGTTGTGTTGTGCTAGGTTACAGGCGGCTTTCAGCCATGAATAAAGACATGTATCATTATATCTATGCCTATTAGGATTTGTTTCCCACCTTGTTACTTATAGTATTGTATTCTAGGCTGGAGTACTAAATCCGAACCCCATCACCTGATGGGTTATTTCCCCGACTCAACATACGCATTGTTGTCAATTTGACATCACCTTTTTATCATGTGATCTGATGTAATTTTTGATACACACACTGTGGTTGCTGTTAATGTCATGCAAGTACTTGATATAAATATTTGGATCAAAGAGTTGTGAATTATCGAGCAATAGTACATTGTGTTTTACTTTTGGAAGGTTGAATAAATCCTCAAATGGATGAAAAGTACCTCAGATTGCTTTGCAGTGGTTCAGTAATATTTGCTAATTTTTGTCAGTTTGTGAGGGAGTATATCAATCTTTGATATATATATAATTAGTTAGTTAGTTTCCAAAAACATTGAAATTGACTTTTGGTTATCAAGACGCATATGATGAATTTTTGTGAAAAAAATTCTGAATTTTTTATTATATATACAGTATAATTTATATAATATATTGTTTTAAAAAATTTAAACTTCATGAATTTTGAGTTTAATTTTTGAAAAATGTTATGGGTTTAATCCCATTAAAATTTTGACTAAATATATGTAAAACGTTCTGCATATTGTCCGTTCAAAATTAAATCCAAGACAAAAAATAGTTCAATTGCAATAAGTAGTTCGCAATTTTGGCCATAAGAATTGTTGTATATAGCTTAAAATTTACTCAATGCTTTGGACGCCAGTGCAATGAAGATGATACTAGATCGTACACGTGGAAACGGAAATGTAAAGGAAACCCTCTTGGGCTTGGACCTCACAAAAAAGTGGAGAGCGTTAGAATGGCTACCAATCCGAGCACATGACATGATTCTCCGACTGATGGACGATGAACTTGTTTGGGGTACTGTACTGATTCTCTGCACTGAAGCATCGACCCCCAATCGATACCAGATTGAATGACAGACACGGGATGCAAGATGGCTCAGCTCAGTTGACTTCCTTCTCACTCCTCACCTCACCATGCGCTCACTGGGGCCTTCAAGGGAAGAGACTTTCTGCATCAGGATCAGGAGTCGTACATGACTGTGCAAGATTCCCAAATCCACCGAAACTGTGGACTGACACTGTGAGGAGAGAAACAGCACTCACCGACTGACTCCATTATGTGGTAGATGAATTATGAAACTCATTATCAAGTTTGATTTCTATGCACGAGTCGGTGATAGCTTATCGTACTTCTCTGGCGCTGTGGAACCGTCGCTTCATCGATTGGCCGGTCGCTTATTAAATATACAATAAGTAAATTGGACCTGGGTCGAGAGAGGCTGAGGCTGACAGCAGAGTTCGACGTGGAAATAACATTTGCTCACTGGAAGAGTTTGTTTCTAGCAACGTTTAATCTCACATCCTTTCTTCGACATCCGTCGTACATTTTCATAGTCAATGTTCCATGCTTGTAAATTCAGCTCGATAGAAACGCAACCTTCTATCATGCTTGGGCTATGCTAAGAAGCGGTCGAAACATCACATCCTGTCATGTGTTATGTTCAACCGTCGCGTCACTAGCGTCTAGTTTCGCTGCTATCGATTGCGCAGATGATGAGAGAAATATACTTTTCCCATCGAGTTGCTGAAATCGGACCCAATGTGTTAACGTCGGATCAGGTTCATACAATCCACAGTCTGCTCAGAAGGGCGATGGTAATATTGATGGATTTCGAGACGGTCAATGAATGACATAGCCACATCCACTGCACTGTTATTCAAGAGACGTGAGTGTGACATTGGTTGTGAACTCCTCTCGAATTCTCGTCTTCAAGCAGATCAACAAAACTTTTAATTCGACTGCTAGTTCGTGATGGGTGTGCATAGTGGATGCGTGAGAGCTGTTCGAGCTTTTGGTATGGCTTCGGATAACCCCTTACACTCATCAGGCCGTCAGTCGCTGTGTTTGCGTGGGGAATATGACACCTAACACGGCTAACAGCATCTTCACCCGTCTGCTGAAACTCCGCATGTCTTCCCATCACAGTGGAGTCGACGGCGATGACAATGTGGCACGGGTGACGGCGAGCACAGCGGTTAGAAGGGAAGGACGGGCTATGGATCGATTGATGGCCCCACAGATCTGTCCAGCAAAACGCTAAAGACGAACGAACGAGTAAAAATGTCATCTACCCTGTCGCAAATTCTGCACATCAGAACAGACAACAGATAGCGGCTCGACACGCCATGCATCCGATTTTACCGATCGATGCCATCCGAAACAGTCGCAGTAAATTGACCTCAGCTGGACCCATGCCTGACACCAAACGAACGAGTGAATTGCGATATTTACGAAATTCAGACAGCGAACACAATCTCGTGAGTAGGGGGAATCCCCATAGCCCGGTCGATCAACAAAACACAAAGAGACAAGACAAGCCCTGGAGCCAGCCACGCGACTGATGTAATTCTTGACAGTTTGCATGTTCCGATGAGGAGTGCCGATGAGAGGGATGACAGTTTGAGCTTTCCAGCCGAACGAAGGCGCTGGTCGGGATTCCCAGAGCCATGCCGGAGGTCAGACTAGATGGGGGAGCAGGCATTCAGATTTTGGATTTTGGCCCTGGAGATGGCAAACTGGAAATGAGAACGAGATGAATGAGAAGAAGAGAAATTCAGACTCAAGCGACGAAATGCGTGTTAAAATGCCCATGCCTGGCTCTTTCTTCATGGGCGTCATGTTTGTACAGCAGCTATTATAATACATGAGGTTGCATTGCAAGAGATGGAGGACGCTCCCGAAGGCATCGCATCCATTGCCGGCGATGGTTTCACATCGCTCAGACTCTCGAGCCACCACCTCTCGTGAACGAACCTAACACCGACCGACTGACTGACCGACCCCACTCTCTCTCCTGATGCTCTCGCTCTGAGAAGTCAGAGACCTAAGCAGACAGCTTCGCCATTGCACTGCGGCTGCCGCGCTTCCGACGACGATCTGGTATCCGGTTCTCGAGCGAGTTTCTGTCTGTCCTGCAGCCCCTCGATCGCATCGCATCGCAGGAAGTAGACTGCGTCCTCGTCTTCTGCGTTGGCCCCCGTGATGTGTTGTCGCCAACATGTGTGACGAGAATGTCATCGATCGAAACGTGCACGGCTGTAGTGATTCCTTCGATTCGATACGAAGGGACGAGCTTCACTGTCGATGTGCGCCACCACTTCGAGAAGCGAGACTCCATCGAAGCCCATGAAGAGGAACCGGAAAGGAGCTGAAAGCAGTGAGGACGGCCGAGGGTGGTGCACCAACATCCTGAAGTGCCATGCGTGAATGGGGGCTCGCTGTTGGGAGTAGCTAGCTAGCATTTCATTGCTGCTGTCGACAGACAGTGTGACTGCCACGAAGATTGGGGCGGAGAGCGCGTGGTTGCAAATCAAAATCGCCTCCGTCCGACCGAATGTCCAACGAGGTCAAATGCGAGAGGGCCAAAACGAGGGAAGGGAGAGAGAGAGAAAAAGGAGGAGAAGAAGAAACAGAAGCAGCTGAAGAGGCTCCGAATTTACTGTCGCCCATGCATCCATAACACCGAGACTGGTTGCGTTCCCGCCAGAGTTTGCTCGAGAAATTGCAAGAGAACGAGGCCTGTAAATTGATCAGCACAGAGCTGGAAGGCGGGCGGGATTGATTAGCCATGATCGTCGTGGTCGAGCTCAGTACCTCCAGGGCAGCAACAAGAGCATGAGCAGCATGAGGCCCAGCAGGCCCCAGCTGGGGCCTTCGCCTCCATACATGCTGTGCTGCGGCTGGTGTCTGTAAACGCGCCGGCTTTGGGTCGAATCGTCGGACGACATCATGAAAATCGCAGTGATGATCACGACCGGAATAATCCACAGCAGCGACAGCATCTGCTGCGCCGTTTCCATAAACCTCGGCAGAGCTTCCATGGTGAGTGGAGTGAACACCACGAACACCACCGCCATGAGCACCCCGAACGGCAGCAGCGGCGACGGATCCATTCCCCTGTTGCTGTAGTACCGAGCCATCAAATCCTCCTCCTCGTTATTGTCGGACCGAAGAAAACCACCACCACCACCAGCAGAAGACGATATCGACTGTGACTATTCGAGTGCTCTCACTAAACCTCGATTAGCACGACAGCAAGCTCGCTCAGCAGCTGCTGCTCAGCCAAATGTTCACCGAGAAGTCGCCGAGTGCACGAATGGTGGGCGCAACCCTCGAATGCAGCTCTTGCTCGGACGTTTCTAGATTTTGAATCTGAAGGCGGATCAGAGGTCGCTTTCTCTCTGCCTCTCCGAGTCTCTCTCTCTCTCTCTCTCTCCTCGCTTCTCACTGAGTTGTAGTATATTAATGACCTTGAAGCTGAGGGCGTCGCAACATTCTTCTTATACATGCAGCGGCAGCAGCAGCTGCAGGAGGAGGACAGCTTGATGTAGACTGCGGACCCACCACAAATCTTTGGCGAGGGCCTCAATGGCGAGCGAGCCCGGTCATGTGGTAATGGTAAAAAGACGAGAGGCCCGGGCAGCTCCGTCTCCCCGACAGGCCAACACAACTTTCGGAAGGGGGATGGCGAGGGCCGAGGGAAGGAATCCGTGTGACAGCTGCAGAAGATGTCCACGTCGTGATCCACAAATCGAGAGGGAGCGCCACCACGGAGGGAGCGAGCGAGGGAGCGAGGGGGGTGATCGAGGCAGAAGATGGATGGGCAGAGGAGAGTCGGTGACTGAAACGAGTGAAAGATATGGAAGGAAGGGCGGCGAGCGAGGCTTTTGGGGAATCGTAGACAAGTGACGGAGCGAGGAAGAAAGGAGCCCGAGGCCAGGAATTTGGGACAGGCACAGCTGCTGCTGCTACAACTCGAGGTCGCCTAAACAGCCCTTGGAGTTCACCCGAGCTCACCAACCTCTTAATGGTGGACTGGTCGCGGATTGGATTCGTTAGTCACTAATTAGTGCCTGGCAGCTGCTAATCCGAGCCTCCTCTTCCTTGACCCCCGACGGGACTGGACTGGACTGGCCCTTGAAAGCCAAGCCAGCGAAGGGAGTCCACATGGGGAGGGGACCTCCACTGCCCGCAGAGGGTCTGGGACCAATGGAAGTGCCATCACCGGCACTTCCTCTACCTCGTGTGAATCTGGCTCTGGCTCCATTAGCATGAACCTATCAATTTAGTCCCACCAAGAGCACCAACAAGCAAACAAACTGCTGCTACTGATGTCCCGCGAGATTAGTTAACCCCTTCGGATCATCTTTCCCCGACAAAATCTGGCCACAGCAACATCGCCTGGACCCTGTACTGTACTGTACTGTATGAATACTTATGTACGCTCTCTCGTGATTTTACTCTCCTCGATGCTAGTTACTCCTGGTTCTCTCATGGGGCTGCGTCTGATTGTTGGCCCTCGAAATATTCCAGGCAGGATCAAATGCCAAGTCTCATTCGACGTCTGGAGGTTGATTATTTTGACCATCGAGAAGGAACGTGCATTCTTCTTCTGGTACTTGGCGCATGGAACCAGCTCGAACATGTAAACCTGAAGTATTCTCTGCAATGTTTGGAGTTGTTTGGCTCAGGTCATGAGGGGAGTCTGGCAAGAATATGACATCCATCTTCTCCTCCCTTTGGTGTCATCTTGGTGCGATTCATGGGGGGGTCTACGCTTCCATTTCGCCAGATTGCTCGTTACATTTGACTCCCGCAGGAATTTGACATCAACTTGTGAAATTAGCATGAGATTTGACCAGATTTAATTCGTGGTCTCCCCATTGATACCCAGAACTTTCGGTTTCAAAATCGTGGCCACTTTGATACTTCGATTACTCATTGCCACGAGAATGTTGTGTGCATGTAAATGCTAAGTTCTGCTATGAATCCTGCCTAAGCGATGCTCGACATTATCCATTCTCCACTTTGCAAGAGGTAAGGAATCAAATGAGATATATGCTCGATGCACCATGCATGTCTGATGAGTCATATGTTCTTCATTTTGCCAGAGGTAAAAACCAAATGGAACACATGCCCAAATATAACTGAAATGCGCAACAATGTGAGAACTGCAATGACATGAACATCTATTACCCAAAGAGGCGTAAATATTTCGACAAAGAGACAAAATCTTTAGAGAGCATTGGTTGGTGTGAAACACAAGATAACAATCATTGCAGATGATTATTCTTCATTTTCTACATTAGCTTTTGCTAACCATATCCTGTGAATTAATCTAGATAGTTATGATATCTCAGGTACTGTGGGAACTATTTTCTATTTCCATGCTGATCAACCGAGCCCAACATTGGGTGCCCATGAGTTCCACATTACTCTTCATGGATGGGCAATGGTATTTATTGTTTCCAGGTGGACATAGTTTCCAAATGAGGACAGAACCCATGTCCATCGGTATTGTTTGAGATTTGGATTCTAATATTTATCATATCAATATAATATCTTAACATGAATTTTACATGTTTAACTTGAATTCACGGAGTGGAAGAAAATTGAATCTTTTGCAAATTAAATAGTTCTATGCTTGCACCCAAAAAATATTTATGAATCTTACAGAATTATCTCACGAATTTTACATGCATCTGTGTTATTGAGATGAAAAAAATCTGACTCTATTCAACTAAATGGACAAATCATAGAGAAAGAAATAAAATATAAATTTGAATAACATGGGTGAGCATAGGTTATGGTACAAACTTAAAGTAAAATATTGGCCTCTGCTGTACAGTACCATCCTTCTCTGATGGGTCTTCAGGGACCTTGAGCTGTATTTCTGGGTTTTCCTCGAAAGAATTTGTGAAACAGATTCTGGAAGGGAACTGACTTCGACCTTTTGGGGCTGAAGAAATGTCGAAGGAAAGGTAGCCAGCGCTCACTCGCTGCGCACGCAAGGTGCCCTTTGTGTCATGAGCACATTGCGATTGACAGAAAGGGAAAGTTGAAGGAAATGAAATCTGATTTCAGAACCGAAAGTGCTCATCTGGCAGTAAAGTGCCGTGCGTCCGGCTCCATGGATTTACCCTCGCCTCCTCCACTTTTCGTTCGCTTGCTTGCTTTTCCATATTCCCTACTTGTGCACAAGCCCCAGGGAAGAACCGCCATTCGAGAATCAGCTGCACGACCTCCAAACGCTCTTGGCAAAACGATGCAAGACGGCAATCATGGCACCCAATGATGAATAGGAGGCATTGAGCTGCGTCGCTGGGTCCTCGAGGGTAAGTAAGCACACTCTTGGAATGTTTCACAGATGGTTTGAAATTGTGCAAGACTTCCCAAATGCGTCCAAGAGTTCCATGACGCGGAACATGAATCCGAGTTTTGTTTCATTCCACTGCTTTCGAGATTTTCGAGAGGTTCTGGACGAGCCTCGTCCTTCTAAATTACACTAAGAGAACATCTAGATTTCTTTTGCTATGAATTTGGAGTGGACCATAATAGAGTAGATTTTATAATAGAATCTCGAAGGATAAGTAATTTTTGTTGGGCTTTTATTCCTTTATTTGGTGCCTTAGGTTTTTTTGGGTGGATTTTCTAATTATTTGCAAAATAAATTAATTCCTTTTTTTTCAGCTGAACAAATTCATTTATTCCACAGGGAATGTTATTGTGGTTCTATGGTACTGCAGGTTTTTGACTAGTTTTTCTTTATGGTGCACTATATCGTGGGCAGCCTTGCAATCATATTTCGCATGACTGTGGCTCTATTGTATGGATTTGAAGATGGAAAAATTTGGCCTGACGGTTTACGAAGTGCAGAGGTTTGTGAGCTGATACCTTGAACTGGAAGACGATGACCAAGAAGTCTGTACTCAGCTCACTGATCAGAGTGATCATGTTGAGTGAGTGTACAGGATGATTTATTTTCCTGGCATGCTCTATCGATTGAGATGGAAGAACGAACCCACGAGGTTGCGTGCCTTTCCATAGCTTGAGCTCCAAAGACGCTCCACAGCATGTTCAACATCAATGACTAATGCTCTCGCTGTACTGTACAGAGCTTTGGTCGTTACAAATCATCACATCCCAAAAGTCATGCAGTCAGTCAAGTCCACCCAAACATCTTCGTTCGACTCTCCACGAAAAATTATTCCTTGCAAAATGTTGCAGCAGTTCCTATTTCTCTGGGCTGAAATAGATCCGGGCCCAAATGGATGGTAAACAAGCACTGGAATAATCAATGGGAAACTAGGGGCAAGAATCAATAGTATCATTATGACCAATATGTTATCCGCACTATATAGATAAACAATATATAATATAAAAATATAAGTACATGATACCGCATCGCATAACATGATTACTTTACTAGAGATATCAATGTCGTTTGACATTGATGTCTAAAATAAACTTGAGAGAATGAACCTTAGAATAGTATGACAACATGCTGCAGCTCATGGGAATATTGAAATCGCTGATTGCGACTTGACTCACACCTTTGGATGATTGATAATGCTGTTAAATAAAATTACAAACCATCCACATTGAACAACTTGGAGCAGCTTGGGCATGGAGCAGCCTGGAACCATAAAACTTAGGGAGGGCTAAAACTTCGTAATGTATGGATTTATTTCGCGGACGAGGAGGCTTGAGAAATAAAGATGTATTAAACCATCTGGATTACATCACTCGGAGCTATGCATCTGTCATAACTGTATACACAGCCAAACATCGATAATCGATCCGGAGGAGGACATCCATAACGAACAGGGAAGAATGGGTCGCTGCTGGTAAACAGTCAAGACCAAATCTCCGATGCTTTGGCTCATTCGTTATTTTAGCTCACCTTGACCAAGTGCATACTTGGATCAGATAATCGCCCAAGACACGAAACCACCTCTTACGAGGTCAATAAAATAAGCAAACAAATGAACAAGTTTTGAGATTTTTCTTTGAAAAGAGGATCTGGTAGTTGCATATGAGAAAAATAAGATTATTTGCATTCACATCAATCAAACATGAAGAGTTGACAAACTCTTCATTCATGCAACAGGAATATAGCGAGAGGATGGGCCATGTACCTTGAAGAAAGTGGTACGAAGCAAAAGAGCAGAAGGGTGCAAAGGGTAGCGTGAGTTCAGGTACTGAAGATAAACCATTCTGATACGAATTTGTGAACTGCTTATTCGACATGGGTATGGAGGATGAGGTGAAGCAGATAATCACCAGCTCCAGAGGCTGTGCGAAAAGTAAATCGTTATTATCACTCTGCACTGGGAGTGGAATTGAGTGAGAAATGGCAGAAAATTCCGCACCAGAAGGACCCCACCAGAGGACTTAAACGATCCGAGTCTCGTATGGAGAGACGGTCATTGACCTTGAGTCGGCCAATGGGCTACGCGACGACCTGACGATG